AATGGCCGACAAGCCTGAAGTACAAAAACTGTTGGCTCCTCAAAAGGAACACGTACCAGCGCACTTAAGGCAAATGTCAGAGTATAAAACAATTACAATCAAGATAATTTCTGAGAGTTATATTTAAGTAGCTTAACTGTTTTACCTACACACAGGCAAGCACTTCTATCCAGCGCTACAGTGTAAATGTTACAGTAGATGCACTACAGTGGCAAGACCACAGGGCAAATACACACCACTGTAATCACAAAGCACCTCTGTGGATGTGATTTCTAGAGACAAAAGCTAAAGAGCTTGAATGTCCTAATGTTACAGTAGGACCGTAATTATGTCTCAAAGGACCTAGCCACAACCTTTTAGAAGAGAATAGTATAAGAACTGGAAAGAAGGCACCTGTACTCTTATTTTTAAACCAATCTCTCAAAAAGGTCTCTTTTCTTCCTTGTTCTTATTGTATGTCTTATTGCTATTTATGCAGGCATGGTAATATGGTCTCTATTGCTGGAAATACTATCGCTAAAAACATTGGTTTAGCCCAAAAACTGTCTTGATAGGCTGTTTATAAAGGGCAGGCCACACTCAGGCACAGCGCAGAAACAAGCTTGTTAAGTGCCACTCTTGATTCTCTGAAACACGAGTTCAGTTTAGTAGGGAATGAGGGCAGTCGACTCTTGCATCATGAAGCTAGAGGCCCATGCATGCATGCGCACTTCTGAGCAACATCAATAAAGCGTGCTCAGACTAGTTGTGGTTGAGGGCTGGACAACAAAACAGTGAAAACGTTCAAGCTCACTGCCACACATGAAACATGACAAACCTGTGTATAAACCACACACGGAAAAAATTACTGAAGACTATTCTGAACATAGCAGAGCTGCTTTGATCAAACTATACCTTACAGTAGATGAAAAGAGGTGGTGATGTTTACTTCTATCCCAAGAGCTCAGTACATATTTTGAGAACAAGTAATGGCATGTTTGCCATGCTTCTCAGCGAATTTATTTCAGATTGTTCTGTGGACGATACGCGCTAGCAGACACAATTCAAACCACTTTGCAGTTGGATTAATCAATACATTTACATTACAAGTTTATATTATGTAGGCATTGACATTATGTATGTTTGTGTTCTCCTCTATTGTGCTCTATGTATGTTTTTAGTTGTTTTATGTATTGTGTCTAAGGTTTGTGCCGTTACATTCTGTTGCACTAAACAAACACCACCATGTTGTGTGGCAATACACCTTAATATGTTCTACAATAATTTGATGACACATAGTACTTAAGCATAAGGTTCCCTGATCTTTTTTTAAATCTGGGCTGTGCAGAAATCATGATCTACATTTGGGTAATGGTGAAAATCGGCAGGTTCATGAAGACCATCCACTGATCAAATGTAATATACTTCAAATTAAAGCTTACATATATCAGACCTTTACACACAAAGACTGGACATGAACGGTAAGACATGTTACACTGTGGGGTAAAATGCTGCCATAAGTGACATGATTGGTGTGTGTGTTTTTTTCTGATTTTCAGATCTTTTTGTGCTTCTTACAGCAGTTTTGTTCCAGACAAAACAACTCATAACTTACCACTTCTTTCAGTGTCCAAGAGGTGACCATGGGAATTAAACCACTGGACATTCGGAAAAGGGTCTCCGGTGATGTTGCAGTCGATCAAAACGCAGTTGCCCTCCCGGGCTATGATCTGGCTGATGGTGGTGAGCACCATGGGGACCGAGCCTCCATCTGCCCTGTTCGAGCTTTCACTGCTGTTTCCATCCGGCAGCGAAAAGTTCAAGGCCCCTGCGGTGCGGATGCTGAGAACAGACACTAAATAAATTAAAACGTATCCGTTTACCCCTTTCATTTTGCCTTCACCGGCTATCTGGACCAGCCCCTGAGATGAAATGTCATTCCACTCGTGTCTTCATGTTAGGCTGACAGGTTATCTACAGGCAGCCCAGCAAACACAGCCAGATCTTCTGGTGGTTGGAGTCTTCTGTTCTTCAGCAGATCCACTGCAATGAACAGGAGAAAAATACAAACACGTTATTTAACCAGCAGGCAATTTTACCGCGGGCAGAACAGCTCTAGTTCAGTTTTATCACGAGATAGCACTCCTCAGATGATAAAAAAGGCTCATAAAAAGACACCAAAAAATAGCAATGAAGAAGCCTTAACGTTACGTTAAACAAAGCTACTGTGATAGTTTAACAGTCAGTACGTCATCAGCACCACTTCCCACGCTTGATAGATGCCAATGCAATTTTGTACCCACGTTAATAAACAGAACTAAACAGCCAAGTGTCGTTATATATAAAACGGAAAAAATGATAACTGTGATCGTCTGAAAGATAAAGCAAAATATATCTAACTAGAAACGAACGATATTGAACCGCTAACAGTAACCAAGTACTGTTAACATTCAAACTCCGGATTAACGTTAGCTAGCTAGCGGTGCACATTCACTACAAGACCCGATGCTGTTTCCTAAATAAAAATTTCACATCATGGCTGAGTGACTACACTGAGACCAACATGGACTTAAATATATACAGAAAGAGCCTCACAATTTAGACTTTTGATGAACTAGCTGATGCTAGCTCTGGCTAGCTAGTCAGCTGATGAGCCGAAAAAAGCAGCCCGAGCAAAGCAGGATATGAGCTTATTTACTCTCTAGGTTAGACTAAACCGCTACTCGCTCAGTTACCGGTTTTACACACTGAGATATATGGTGTACTAGTTAAATATCACAGCCGATAAATACCGTCGAGTACAGCGACAATGCTCTGCTTACATCGAGGAGAGCTGTAATAACGTTTTCACCATATTTAGATACCGAGAAAGCTCATCTGTAGCGGAGAACACCAGCTAACGTTAGCGCTGGTCGCCGTCATTACCGGACTAGCAGCGTAGGCTGGCAACATTTTTCAAAATATTCCTAAATTCTCTCACCACATCGTCTGCTGACAGCGATGTATGTGGCTTTCACCAGACCTCGACCAAAAAACGGCGGTTAACAGCAAAAAACATCCGGCTTTGTAGCCATCGGTAAATTTCTCCACCGCCTCTCTCTTCTTGCCGTGTTGGCTGTATGAATGCAGTAGGGCAGTCTGTTCTATACTAGTCGAAGCTCGCTCGCTCTCTCTGTCTCTCTCTCTCCCTCTCTCTACCTACACTAGAACAAGCCCTCTCTCTCTCATACAAGCACTAGCTCTCTCTGTCACGCTATCTCTCCTCTACTATTCTAGCACTAGCGCCTCTCTTTCTCTGTCTGTACTCTAAGAGCTGGCACTGTTGAAGCTTTGGCACTGAACACAGTAAGAGCTTTCTTTGGGCTTTTATCTCTTTTAATCCGGATTCTGTGAGTGCTGTGAATTTTTCTGTGATTTTTTACTTTTTTTCTTTTAGGGAGTTCCTTTCAGAAAAAAAAGACTTTAATCTGAAATGTTTTAAACTTGTGTCTTATAGACTGACACTGTTTTTTTGTGATTATTATTATCCAGTTTTATTTTCCCGATGAAGCAGATAAGAGCAGAGAATAGCTGTATTTATTGTAGCTATTAGGCCTCATATGCAGAATCAATCCAGATGTAATTTGTTGAATTCTGCAAAAAGTAAGAATGTACACACAATATGTTCAGAGGTATTATCCAGACACCCCTAACTAGTGAATTCAGCTACTTTAAGATGACCTTACTAATGCTCTTGTGGCTGAATGCAATTAAATCCTCACACCAGTGTTCCAACTTCTAATGTAAAGACTTTCCAGAAGAGTAGAGGATGTTACTGCAGCAAAAGGGGGACAAACTCCTTGTTAATACCCATGAATTGTATAGGGCCTTCCTCTCAGATGTGGATTAAGCCTCGTCTTGGACTAAATTGGAGTGCCAGTGGTGAATCACCATTAAAAATTCACTTCACTCCAGGCTTTGGCTTAATCTGGGTTTTTTGGGAAACTGGACCATTGTGTATTTATTTAAAAAGTTGCAGATACAATGGGCTTTTTGGCGTTAAGTATTTTGCACAAACTGTGAAGTTTGTCATTCTTCTGATGAAGGAGATGAAAGCACAACACACAGGCCTTGTATGAGCAAACAGTGACCAACAGAGAAAATCCAGATGCAGCTTCTTCTTCCAGAGTGTGAAGCTGTGCCACGTCCTTCAAAATATAGATCGGATCTCGCCTTTCACTGTAGAAATTTGTAGGGCGATCTGAGTGTCCTTGCCGCTAATGCGATGCAGGCGCCATCCGTGTTTGAAATGGAAGGCTATAAGCATCTGATTAATCAATAAGAGCAAGTGAGCCTTTCAGACCAGAAGTAAGTGAACTGCCTGCTTTTAAAAATAAACATGAGAAATAAATGGGTCGATGCGAGTTTACCCAAAATAATATAACGGCTGAGCTGGGTCAGTGAACTATACATAAACACTCTGACTAAGTACTGTACACACTCCTGTTTCTCTCTCACTCACTCTCTCTCGCTTGATCACTCACTCGCTCACCGCACCCAGGCAATCTGTGTTTTAGTAGGGTTTAGAGACAGATGGTGCACGCTCAAGTTCCTCATTCAAATCAAAAAGAAAAATACTTTGAGTAGGCAGATCAGGCCTGAGAGAGAGAGAGACAAAATAAACATTTTGCTCAGCCTCGACTAAAGACAATGTAATATTTACAGTTTTATGCAAAAGTTTGAAAACCCCTTGTCAAAGTACATAACAATTTCTAAGGAAACAACCTTAAATATGGCATTTTTCCACAAAGTTTAGTGTAGAATTTATATTTATTTGCCGAATTAAAGATGTTGGCAAAAAGATAAAACATAAAATCTCAAAAGTGCCAAACTTTTGCAGAGGCCACAGTTTGTTTTATTTGTGTACAAGTGTTCTCTGTAAAAGATGTGTCATTTTTACTAAACATAATTTGATGTCCAAACGTTTGCATATGACTGTATATTGCGCCAAAAGAACTCATAATATTAGATGAGCAATAAGTACCTCATACAGACTGAATTTTTAATTTATTATACGAATTTATAAGCATAAAATACATTATTTACCCTCAGAACACTTCACTCACTATTACATACTTATCATAAACATCATGTAGACAAAGGTTTAAATGCAATCTGAATACTGTCACTGTGAGAACAAAACTTCTATCTCCAAAATGGTAACTTTACAGGAGAAACATTCATTACCTTTCACGGAAATTAGTGTGAAGAGATTTAATTTCAAGTAATTCTGGACCATTTCTATTGGTCTATGCACTATAAAACTTTCACATAATGTTAAGAGCAGATGGCATTTTGAAATAATGAAAAAAAAAAATCAAAGTTAGAGATATAAAGTTCTCTCTTGACAGCAATTGTATGTAAATTTACTCACAGAAAAATTGTTTCTTGAGCTCAGACAGGTTTCTCTAGGTTTATCCCTTTAAAACTAATGCTATCTTAGCTACTAGTCAGAAAGACAGCTGAGTCTTGTAGTGTGTTTAAAGGCATTACGATTAATTGCCCGCACAACTGCAGTGAGAAACTTTGACTTTGGTCATTGCAGGGGTCATCTAGGTATCTGTGTGCAAAAAAGCATCATTCTCACGGAGCCTCCTTGATGAGAGCTGAGAGTCTCTTGAAAGCCTGTTGAAACAGAGGAATGAAAGTGAGAACAGAATGTAATTCTGGAGTGACTGTGTCTATATGTGTGAGGGAGCCAACATGTGCATGTGAGAATGAGACAGCTGTTTTAATCTGCATGGTGAGTGACAGTAGCATGTACATGTATGTATGTGTGGTACCTCATCAATCTGTTGTGGTGTAGAGAGAGAGAACGCGGCTCTGACGTAGGGACACTGCTCTGAACTGTGGATGTTAAAAACTCCTCCAGGAACAAGAAGCACCTAAACAAAGAAAAAAATCAAATGTTTAACCTCTTTCTGCAGGCAATCTAGTGGCCATTCCGCCAGTGGACTAGAATTTGACTCAGATGTTTTGAATAAATATGATAAAATATTTTTCCATGTAACTACGTTCACATTTTTAGGCTGAACTGAAATTAGATTTTTTTGCCTTAATGGGATACAGATCTGATGGTTTCAGAGCAGTGTGGACACACAAATCTGATCTTTTCAAATCAGATCTGAGCTACTTTCATACATGGTCATGGATCAGATACTTATCTGATTCGTTGCCATGCAATATTAATGAGAACGGTCAGATAGAAATGGTACAAACACATATGACTAACTATGTTTTTCACCTTCATCTCACTCTAATAATGAATGGCTAAGAGATGTTTAGAGCAATTTATCTTCTCCTTTTATTCTGCACGTGGGTCATTCATGTGACGTTATGGATTAGGATGTTCGCATGTGGTCATTTCAGGACATCAGTTTGTTTACATTAAAGATTACACAAATGTGAACCATCAGGTTAGAAAGCTCAGATCTGAGCCAAAAATCAGAACTGAGCAATGTGAACGTAGCCAAGGACACTGTTGGCTCTCTGTGTATGAAATGCTGTGATTCTGTGTTGAGCTGCTAGTGAGCAAAGAGGGGCAAAAAGGGAGGACTGAGAATGCCCTGCTGTTAAAAAAACGAGAGCACAACTGCAGCCGTCTTTATATCAACAAATCATGTATGACTGCCACATTAAAATAAAATTATTTTAAATGCAATAAAACACATAAATGTTGACTTGCCTGCTAACTTCCCACAATCAAAATCAAGCTCGCTTCCAGTTTTGTAAGTAATACATATATTCACCAAAATGTATTCTATCAGCATTATTCAAGAAAAGAAATGCATGAACAAAGGAAGCTCCAAAACAGGTGACTGCATTTTATAGCTGCGGTGAAAAAGGGTTCAATTAGGGGTTTAATTTTACCTAAAATTTTGATCTTAACCTGAATATAGCCACACAGCACTGTCCAGCCTGACTGTCTGACAGACAACGCCAAGTTAAATCTCAACCATGTAGCTAATTCTGGATTATACATATAAAACAAAAATCTTCAATGTAAGTCATTTCCAGAGTGCCTCAGATTTCTGAAGTACATAATAACAAAACAAACAGTAAATTTCCTTTCTGGAAATGAGCTTTCTGTCTGGTTAATTTTGTAGTACTTTGTAATGTTCCCTTTAGAATAGTTTTAAGAGAAAAACACAGAACAAAACAAAACAAGCTACAGTCAGGTCCATAATTATTTAGTAAAAATTTAATTTATCAAGTAAAAAAAGATAAATGTGACAATGTAAGAAAGTAAAATTTAAAAAACAAAAACCTGTATTATTTTTAGTCATGAAATAGGATAAATTCGTGTTGACACTTCATAAATCAGGCAACTGCTATAAAAAATCAGTACACATATAAGGATATTTGAAAAATGATGAAAGCCCATGTGAATAGTTGGGTCTGAATATTTGGACAAACATTTGAGTTTCTAGTTAAATCAGTGACTAACTTCATTTAGCTGAACTCTCCATAACTACTGTGGTCTATTGCCTTCAATTGACCTTTGTTTGACTACTGTTTCTCCTATGTATGATATTTCACCGCAGAATTCAACTGGTAATCAGCTCTGTATAAGACTGAGCGTCTACTTTCTGTTTATTTACATCTGGTACAGAATCAGAACAAGCCAGGATTTGAATCTGCTTATATTTGCAACTAAAACACACCCATCACTGGTTGATTTATTCTTATTTTGACTGATCTGCCAATATAGTGAGCCTTACAACAATTGCAAAATGAGAAATATTAGAAATATCAACTAGATTTAAAATAATTTCACTTGCCAAGATCACATATTTTGCAGTGAGAAGTGGAAAAATAGCTATTGTGTTCATTTAGCTCTTAAAGTGCTAGTTTGGATAAAGAGCAAATAAACAACATTACTGTATTTGTTCTCAGTTGCTTTAAAAACAACTAACAAAATCAGCCGACCTACAGTCGTATGCAGAAGTTTGAACACCCCTAGTCAAATGACTTGTTTTGTAGATTTTCTATGTGAACATAAATTAACAAATTCTCTACATGGAACTAAAGTTTTTGCTAATTTTAGTGCACAATTTCTATTTATCTGCTGAGTTTAACATATTGGAAAAAATAAAACATACAATATAATATGTATCATAATCTTCGCACAGGCCACATTTTATGAGTTCAATCTGTTAGATTCAGCAAATAAACAGTAGTTTGCGTGTGCAAACGCGTGTTCTCTGCAGAGGAGGTTTTAACTTATTTTCAAAAACGTGTCATTCAACAAAACGTGTCATTTGACCAGGGGGTTCCAAGAAGTAAATCAGAACTGGCCATGAAGACTGATGATCGGTGCACTCTTACCACTGACATTCACAGGCCGAAATCTCTGTATGAGCAGAAATCTTTTGAAATTGTGTCTCTCAGCATGTGTGAGTACAAACTGTAAGACACAGAACAGCTCATTGTGCTCTGTGCTCTTTTGGAAATGGCCAATCAGCACAGCTTCTGTCTGAGTGTTTGTGTAGGAGGTGATGAAACACTTTGCTCACATGCAGAATCACTGCCTGGATTCATGGTGGTTAACTTACACACACACACAGACACACACACAGACACACACACAGACACACACACACACACCCTCAGGCTCTCCTCTGAGCCTTATTAAAACTACCACATGACATTCAGCACAGAGAGTTACGCTAATTAAACATTTTCAAAGGACATAAAGATAAGGTTGGATTTGAATAAAAAGGCTTTGCACAATACTTTTATTGCATGCGAAGTATTAAATGTTTTGAAGTTAGACATTTACCAACTTTTTCTCCGTCAGGAAGGGGAGGGGAGTTGTGTATTTTAGTGTGGGTTTATATACAGTGATCCCAAGAAGTATTTAGACACTTTAACCATTGGTAAGGTTTAATGAAGTACTTCAGGGTGCTTCAAAAATGCTTAACAAAATGATATTTGTTTCAGAGAAAAATACTTAGTGTAACATCAGACTGATGGAAGACTCTTTGTGTGGAGAAAAGCCTGGATAAGAAATCCAACCAGACTGTGCTAAGAGTACTGCAAAGCAGAGAGGTGGAAAGTCTGGGACTGTTTTTCGTACAGTGGTGTTGGTGAGCTTGTGTTCATTGACAGGTCATCAACTCAGAAGTGTATGAAGACGTTTTGGATGTAAATCTGCAGAAGTCTGCAAAGAAACTGCTCAAATTATAATGATCTGAAAAACCACCAACCAGCTTTTGAAAGAATACTTTGTCAAAAAGAAAATTATAGCATTGAAAGGACCTGTGTAAAATAAATGCCACTTGGTTTGACATTTTCCTAACACAATGAACTTGAATGGCTCATATCCTACATTTTTTTTTCTTGCATTTTATTTTATTTCCCCTGAGGTCCGCTTATAAAGTTCATGTGGTTTTAAGTATCAAATACAGTCCTAATTTGTTTTTACATGACCATTTCAAAAAGCTCTCTTTATCCCTTAAATTTTTTTTTAAGTTTTTGTGATTGTGCTTTTAAAATTGATATGGAAATGATCTCTCTTCTGATTGGCTGCTCTGTGTTGTGCCTCATTCAAAAAGCAGTTTGGGCTGAAACACTGAGCATGTCTGGGCAAGGCTAAACTGCTGTAGGCTGAATAGGTGGATAGATGTAAATGCTATATCACACTCTTCTATATAAAAAAGTGAGGTCAATGCGTTGGTCAATAATATGGCTACTATTAATACATTTTTAAGAATTGCACAAATGTCCACAAACCTTTTGCTGCCACTGCCGCACACTGCCTGTTAAAACTCAAACAGTGAGTGAATGATTGATATAAATCTTGCTCTCTATGTGTGTGTGTACCTCTTTCTCCAGTGCTTTCTCCATTATAAGCTGCTGCGTGTCTTTAACCCCCTTTAGTTTAATCCACAGGAACATGCCTGCCGCTGGTGCGTGCCACTCTGCTACATCTGTACAAAATACACAAAGACAAAGAGGAAAAACACAGAGCACAGCTAATGTTGAATATTATGGCTTGCAGTTCTGCAGAAATGTGAAGCCACGATAATGAATAATTGGACTATTAATCTATTTTCTTTTCTTTCTCACAATCCATCATATACCACAGAATAAAGACTAACCTTACATTTACAAGATTAAGCACTTGTGACTGCCTCATAACTCTATGACTGTCAATATACATGCTAAAAATATACGTTCATATGCAAAAGTTTGGACACCCCCAGTCACATAAAATGATTTGTTGATTTTCTAAGTGAAAATAAGTTAACACCTTCTCTAAAGACAGCACACTTCTGCACATTTTAATGCACAATTTCTGTTTTGGCTAAGTTAGAAAAAATAAAATATGGCACATTTTATACTTTATTTTTTTCTAATATGTTAAACTCAAAGTAGCAGAAAATGTCAAATTTAAGTTTGTTTCCAGTAGAGGATGTGTTCACGTATTTTCACTTCAACAAAACATATAATTTGATCAGGGGTTTTCAAACTTGTGCATATGAATGTATGTTTCACATAGCAGAAAGTTTAAAACCTAATATGAAGCAACAAATGTGTAATTTGTTGTAGGGGCTTGTGTATGCATGCGTTACGCAATGACTATGATGATAAAGCCAGGGAAAAGAATCAAACCTTTAAGCCATTTATCTGCTGAAGAGAGCATAGCGTTCCTCTGGGCTAGATAAAACTCCACCACCCTGAGAGATGCAAAGAGATTTACACCGTCAGAACAGCCATATTATCGTTCAACAGCATGTCTTATCTTATTCTGCTTTGCCAACATACATTACATCTTAATTTCAGTTCAAACTAATAAAATTTTAGAAATATCACATCTAAGAAAATTGTTTCTGTTATATGGACTATTCTACCAAATTAGTTCAAACTGTGGTCATGCGTTAAAAAAAAAAAAAGCATCCAGACTTTAGGTATTTACAAGTATTATCCTATAATCTATTTAAACCCAAGGCATTAACAGAGATAGTATGCTGTAAAGACTTGCTTTAAAGGCTGTGTCTGGTGGGTTGGTCGCATTTATTAAACTCGCTCTTAAAGCAATGGATGGGGTGTAAGCTCCCATTACATGTTAGCAACGTTAGCCTTGGGCACAAAACATATCTTGCTGATCAACTACATTTGGGGTAAGAAAAAAGTTGCATATACCAGACTTTCGGCCAAAGAACTGCTTTAACACCATGATGCCCAGCTCTCTTCTTGGAGACCCTACAGCCCACTCAGTTTAATTATAACCACCACATTTGAGCTTCTGAACATTAGAGCTGGATGAGCTGGTGAACAGTTCTGCAGGGCACAGGATTGTAATGAGAACTGCTATAAAGCACTGCCACTTCCTGTTTGGCAGTGTGTGGTGAGGCACTCACATGGTTTAAACCAGTTCAACTGCTTTCAACTCACCCATCAATGTGATTCAGGAAACCCTCCTGACCCCAACCGTGCAGGAGCTGAGAGACCATGAGCTGGACACACAGAAAACAGAAAACAGAAGAATAGAATAGAATAGAATAGAATAGAATAGAAAATAACATACAAGAGAAGAGAATTGGTAAATAACAGCTTATACACAGTGTTTACAATGATGAGCAGACCAATAGAAATGGTCTAAAATCACTGAGAATAAAATCTTGTTAGATTAACTTGCTAGATTAATATTGAAAGAATGCTTTTTGTTCTCCTTTAAAGATACTTTTTTGAAATATGAGGTTTTGTTCTGACAACAACTCATTACCCGGATTCATGTGTCATACAGAGATGTTTAACAATGGTGTGTTTGTGGTTTCTGTTCAGTAAAAGGGTAAAATTGTGGAAACCACAATAAAAACAACTCGTATTCCAACTAGACAATGAAAGATGCCACACTGATTGTTAAGTGAGAGAATAGTACTTTAAAACAATAAATAAATAACTCTTAGATGCCTATTTCCGATGCTCAGGCAATATCAGTGATCATTACAAAAAACATATTTTTGAGTGGTAGTATGTAACGGACAACTTTTCAGTATTTAGTGTGTCAATCCTTTGCCTTTATAACAGCTTCCATTCTTTTCAGGAGACTTGCTCTCAATTTGTCAAAGAAATCTGCAGGGATATTTTTCTTAGAAGTTGGTTGTATTTTCTGCTTCTCATGATCTGAGTAATCCCAAACACATTTAGTGATGTTGAGGTCTGGACTTCGGGGTGGTCATTTTTTACCAGCAGCTTTGTTTTCTTTTTTATCTGTTTCCTTTTCTCAGTAACGGCTTCTTGACAGCTACACATCCTTTCAGACTCATAGCACTGAGTTTTCTTCTCACAGTGGAAGGATGGACAAAAACTCCTGTGGATTTTTTCAGATCTGAAGCAAGAGTGGAGCCTGATTTTCTCTCATATACTGTTTATCTGATGATGACGGTTTTGATGCTTTACCAGCTCTTTTAACTTATTTTTCCTTGATCTTCTCCTTCCTCGTACAAGTATATCATCTTATATTTAATCTCCTCAGAAATATCTGCTTTGTACATAACTGTGGTTTGACTGAAAATGACACAAATAAAGGGTGGCCTTTTACACAGTACCGTACCTGTCCAAACCATTTAAAAACACTGATCTGCAACTGTGCCACGCCCACTGGCTCAGAGTTTGCCAACAGAGACAATAACTATTGAAATGAATGTACACTGGATGGTTTAGCAGAACTAGAGCAGCATCAAAAACCAGCCTTGCAGCTATTCTAGACTGAGGCTTTAGCATATGCTAATTGTTTTAGCATCTCTATTATGCCAACCCAGGAGTGGATCTGTATTTAGACAAACCCATTCATAGTACAAATAGGATATGCAAAACAATTACCATGGGTGCTGTGTGACTAATGTTTTGCTATGAGGTTGGTTTTGCAGTGATAACCCACTTAAACCTTAGAGAACAAACATGTGGGTCTCCTTTGTAAGAGAGCCGCTGTCCATCTTATGTTAGCCTACTTTGTTCTTGATTTTGATACTGTGGAGAAATTCCTGAACATACAGTACACAAGTTTGGTTACCAACTTTCTGCTGCACTTCGGTCATTGCATGCTTTTTTTTTTATTCTATCAGCAGCACCTGAATTAATTTAATAAAAAAATTGATTAGCTGAAGCAGATACTGGATGGTACATGTAAATACTGGACTTCCCTGAGAAGATATTTGGAAATGCATACATAGATAAACAAAAAAACACATTGTGATTTGTTATGTATTCTAGTGTTTTTTTTTTAACTAATAAACACTTACTGCCCAGATATAATAGCCCTAGACATATCATTTTCTGAGCTGCCTAAGACTTTTTCACAGTACAGTTTTATGGAAAGGACAGAATTAGGAATGGGCAAAAAAACAATATGTTATTGTTATTGTAGATTATGACCCAATGTATTTTTTGTCAGTATTTCTAAAACACTGGTCGATTGCATTCTTTATAAAAAATAGATGTGGCAGATTTAGACTAGTAGAGAGCCTGTAAACATCAATCACAGTGTCACAGCATCTAATTAAACTGTATCACATATTGTGAAGATGTTCACACCTAAGCAGGACTGACGATAGTTCTGTCATTTTAGTTCACAGTTCTGTGTTTCTGCCACAGTTTCCACAGAGGCAAAAAATAACACTGCTGCTTCATCAACACAGCGATGCCAGCGTGAATGAGGGATCACAGCTGAGAGGAATAAATGTTCTTCTGTACTGCTCACAAATTATGATCAGTGCTGTTGCTAAGACAGAGAGTGGATGGTAGCGTAGTGATAGGGGAGGTGAGCCAGTCATCACCCGGAAGGATGGGGGTTGTGCCCTTGGGCAAGGCACTTAAACCCCCAGTGCCCCAGAGAGCGCTGCTTTGGTGGTGAATTTTCCTTACAGGATCAATAGTGAAAAGAAATAGTGCATATCAAAGTGTCATTGTCATAAGAAAACCTCATAACTCTCTTTTTTCCCCCCACCATGTAAAAACGTGCACATTTTATGATAAATGAACTTAATTTTAACTCCTAAATTACTTTTACGTTTCCTTTTTAACTCCTTTCCCAATAAAGTTAATGTTCCAGGGATACAAATTTTCTCCCAACACTGATATACAGACACAGAGAGAAAGATTAAGAGAGAGAGAGAGAGAGAGAGAGATTAAGTAGATGTCTGACCTGAGTGAAGGTGCTGGTGTGCATGGTGGATGCTTGAATGTGAAGTACAACACGGTCCACTAACGGTTTTGGTCCTGTGACAAAACCTATCCTTAACCTGTGAATGCAAACACACTTGATCTTTTCAGCCAGACAAGGTACCTAATGTACAAAATATTAGGTACATCCACTTAATAGGTGTGCATAGGTGTACATAGTAGGCTTCAATACTGTGTACGAGGTGTAAAAAATGAGCTGCGGTGTAATAAGTGACTTGCAGTGCACCTATTTTGTGAATACAGTTGTGCTCACTCAGCTCTACTAACTGTGGTACATATTGTGCTTCATGCACCTATATTTGACTCTTTAATAACCACTCAGTTTTCTGACCACAGACCTCAAATGATTAAACAGACAAATCAGCACTGCATAAAGCAGACATGGAATGAACATTTAAATAGATAGCTTCCCTTAGTCAGTGACAGCGTCACATGAAATGTTATCTACATTATTTAGGTGTCCCAAAGTCTCTTTTCTTATCTAGAACTGCCCAGGCCACTGCACTGATCAATGCTCTCATCTGTGTCTAGTGTATGTTATAGTCTATGTACATACATACACTGTACTTACTGTACATACATACTGTATACATAAATTTACCTTGGGTAGTAAGGTCCAGTGTACTAGTTAATCTTTATAACAATGTCTTGGCCTCCCAAGTGTTACAGTAAGCTTGTGACTAAGGGTGTTTTCCCTCTGCACATAATACCAGAATTGTTCAGAAAACTGGAACTGTCTTTTTTCCATTGTCCATCACTTCAGTGCCGAAGGCTCTAGTTTTATGTTTTTTGGTATCTGTTCAAGATACAAAAGGACATAATTGTCACAGCAGCTGAAGCCAACAACAATTTAGCTAATTCTTTTCTCTTCCAGGTGAAGATAAAGTCACCAAGAACACCAGTAAGAGCAGCAGAGTGTAAACTAGAATAGTATGTTGATGTGTCCATTGCTATTTTTAGAATAATTACTTTGACTAAGGTGGCATAAGCTAGAAGTTAATGTTAATATTATTTGCATGTATTCTAGCCCTTACAGAAGGACTAAGCACAGCTATAAACATTAGCTTTGTTTGAGTCTGTGTATCATCAGTACATTTCAGTACGTTTCATGTCAGCAAAGCTAACTAGAAAGCAAAGTAGCTAATTTGCCAAGCAACTAATACAATTAAACCATTAATCCTGTATATTACAGTGCCATGTCTCTCAAGTGAAAAATGAACTATGACTAGAACCATACATTCCACTGGTTCCTGTTTGGGTCAGTTCTTGTTTTTGAATGTTCAGTGCAAAGATGCCATAACAGTTCAGTAAATGTACAGGTTAGAGGGAGAAAATATTTGATGGTTTATTTAATTGATAAAACCTAAACCACCGGATCTTCAGCCTTGGTCTTGGAGTACTCCAGTCCTGCACATTTTACTGTTCTTTTTGCTGTAACACATCAGATTTAACTGGGAAAACACTAAAATGTGAAAAGCAGGAACTCCAGGACAAGGACTACATTTTTCTTGCATTTTATTTGTGTGATTTTATGTACCAAAAATGTCATAATTCAAACTGACATATGTAAATGAGCTCTGTTCTGATTGGTCCTGTATTAGTCCTGTATTAATGCCTCATTCAAAAAACTCTCCGAAACTCTCTGAAACACTGCTTATCAATATGAATGAACGAGCTAAACTGCTGTAGGCGAATAGGTAGATATATGTTAATGAGCTGTTGGTTATAAACACAGTTCAACCTGGGCTGTTTTTGCAGCACAGTTTCTTTATATAAACCATATTAACTGGGGAGTAAATGGGACATTTTGAACCTTTAACAATGTTTACATATCACTTTAAACTTTATTTAAACTTTATTAGCTAGGGAAACTTGGTAATCCATGATTGGGGCTCTTCAAATTATCATAATACCATATTGAAAGTGCTTAATCCATGGTGAGGTCTGTTCCTCTGTTTCTGGTGTGACAACATGTGTCATGCTAAACAGGTCTGCTCATTAAAAAGCCTGCTTTCAGCTCCTCCAGTTATAGGTCACCTGGGATTACCTCTGCTGAAACATACTGAACACATATACACCTGCTCTTCACCTCTCAGTCTCTCTCTCTCTCTCTCTCTCCCTTCCATATGTCTAGATCCACTGAGACTACAGATAAGGAGACCACTGTCTTCAGCAAAAGTGTAAAAAAACACACAAAAGCAACATGGCTAGCTTCCACACAGAGCCGTGGCCTTTCAGATGATGCTGCTTACTGTGTACTAATTTATTTAGATTATGCCTCCGGACTCAAGTGGCTGACCTTATAATCATCACTGCTAACATTCCTCCAAACAAATAGGATCAGTGCTCTTGGGTCTTTTTACCTGAGCTGCCTTAGTGAGTTACTGAGTAACTCTGATAAGCACTGGAGCTTGAACGCTGTCATGCTTTGCTTCGCAATGTTCTCAGTTCATAAACTGACTTCATGCTAACCTATAGTTCATTTTAAAAAAGCAAATGTTGCTAACAAATAAATTTTAAAGCTAATACTTAGCATTATACAATGACACCATGTTAATCGGTGGCTACTAGCTTTTAATTGTTGGTCACTACTCCTAAAAATGAAGTGCAAATTTATGTGGCTTAATTTTTCCGAATAAAATAACATAATAATAGAGCACTTTAGTGAAGTTTGTTGCTGTAGTATACTGCTGTCTTTAATTTTGTCATAAAACTGTAATTATGAATGGAATTCTCAACGTCAAACAAAGTTTACCAACCAATGCTGTGCAGACAATTAGCCTGACTGAAAGAGAGCTAAAACATAACACTGTTTTTCTGAGACTTGAAGCTGTTTTGTCTGATGTCTGAAGCCTCATGCTGTCGTCAGAGGATTTTATAAAATGTACTAAAATAAATAACACAGGTGGCTTGTACAGTCAAGTGATCTGCCTGCAGCACCAAGCATGTTCAACCAGTGCAGCTCAACAGCACATTTCACAACTCCTCGTTGACGTGTGGAGACTACTGTCTTGCTATGGTTTGCATGAAATAAATCAATAAATAAACTTGTTTCAAACCAGCAGTAAATGAGTTTTTCCAGTAATTCTGTTAATCTTAAATCTATTTTAATACTTGTCAGTTTCAGTCTCAGGGGCACTTACCCTGATGACAGGATTTTGGAAAAGGAGTCTGTTCGTATAACTCGTCCATCCACATCTAGTGACAGAAATGTAGGAGCCCATGGCTGAAAAAAAGAAAAACAAGTCTGTATAATTACTCCACAGCTCTTTGGTCCTTGAATTCTAGGCTTACAATTCATTTATTAATGTTGAGACATATTATTAAGTAACTACTATAATAATTCAGCAACTACTATGAAACTAATATATAAGTTATTGAAGTGAGAAACTGAAGTGTAGACCAACATACAGGCCCTTAGGCTTTAAGGGGTTAAACAGTGGCCAACATCTTATCAGTTTAACACTACACGGTTATCAGCCGGAGTAGATAACACCAATAATATGTTGATGACTAACACTGTAAGACAAATAAGCCAATATGTACCTTTTGAAACTGCAGGAAATAATACGGGTCATCTTCAATGATAAGAAAGTCATACTTCCTTGCGAGCTGTAGAAGAACAAATATACATATTGGGTCTGTGATTTTATTAAAAACTCTAAGGTCATGGTATTCACATGTATTTCAATAAGTTCAATATGATTTTCGCTTTTCAGGTCAAGATATGATCAAAGGGTGCATTACATGGAAAACTAAATTTACAGTCCACTGTTTGCAGTGGGGCCCTGTAATTAATAATATATATATATATATATATATATATATATATATATATATATATATATACATATCATATATATAATATATATACACACACACACACAGATACATACACATATATACATATATACACACACACACATATATATATATATATATATATATATATATATATATATATATATATATATATATATGGAAACTAAGCTGAAAAACAGCCTGTTTTAAATTGCCTGTTTCTATGATGTCACAAATACATAAATACAGTTTAGCTCCACCCATTCATGTTGAAGTTATAAAGAGTGTTTAGGCCTTTTTGAATGAATCACAAGAAAGGGCAGAACAGAGCTGATTTACATATAATCAGTCTTAAAGGCACAGTTAAAAAAAACCTGTTTAATTCTAAGGGACAGAGAGAGGTTGGGAGATCTTGTAAAAATAAATAATGATTTTGGCACATAAAACCACATAAACATTACAAATGGACATTTGGGGGAAAAAATAAAATACATGAGAAAGTAGGATATGGGCCCTTTAAATTTATATATTTTATATATAAACACACACATTCTACAGAGCTCAAATCACTTACTTTACAGACTTGTTTAGCAGAGATAAATACAAATTTCATTTAAAAAAATATGCTGTATCTGATGCAAATGGTCTGTAGACTACGCAAACACAGATAGCGTGAACCCATTTGACTGATTTTGATAATTAACAAAAGAGAACAGAGAGAGCATCAGCAATACAATTTTAATTTATGTTTGTTTTGTTTTTTTCAATTTTCCGATACTGTATTAAAATTATTATACTTTTTGTATTCACATATTATATGCTGAAGGAAACCAGTACCTCATAGACCTTCTGCTTCCTCTCTAAGGTCATTGAGGCTCCGGTGGGGTTGCCTCCGTTGGGGATGGTGTAGAGGACTTTGGGTGTAGTGCTGTCAGGTTTGTGTGAGTCCCACTGGGCCAGAATGTCTCTAAGGCCATCCGGAATCATACCATACTGATCACTCGGCACATTTACGATGTTACAGCCCAGCGGCTGGAGCTTTGGGTGAAGTTTAAAGGATGAAAGGTCAGAGGGGAAGAAGATAATCACAGAGAATTATGTTCAATGCAGGCATAAGAGACTCTGGGTCAAAGTAAGAGCTGATCATTCTGAGTAAACTCTCACTTTAACCTTTACAGGAAATACCACAAGGCCACCGTTAGACTTTCAAACAGAGGAAGACTCTTACTGCTGCCAGAGTTCCTGAATATGTGGGTGCATCAAGGAGCACAGTATCACCAGGATTGACAAGCATCTCAAACACCTTCAAGGAAGAAGAAAACAGAAGATTAAGTTAATTAAGTTAATCTTTGCATTCATTTGGTACATACAAGCAACACTGATTTATTATTACTTATTTAAACGTGAAAAGTCACATTTAAATAATGAGATTATGTCTGTCCATTAATGCAAGTTTTCAACATGATGCACAAACAAAATACTAGTTTTGTAATTATTTTGCTACATATTGCAATTGTGATATGCTTTGCAGTATATTAAACATCTCAGTGAATTAATAACATAGCATGGTTAAAGATTGCGTTGTATTATTCTGAGTAAAAAATTATTTACTTTTGTTGGATTAAGTAAATCTTTTTTTTCTCACCAAAACACCCACAGAAACACTTACATGGAACTGTGATTTGGTCAAGATGCTCACAGCACACAGTAAAAAACACTGTAATTGGTCAAATATGCTCATTTACAGATTAACAGCTTCTGAAACATCAGTACTGAAATTGCCAGTAACATGATAACAAAAGCAAATGATACATAAGGAGTCATAATTAGGTTTTTTTTACAATAATTACAAAAATCTATTAATTATTAAGCTACTACTAATTTCAATATAAATAATTGTAATTAACAATTTGTCTTTTTTGGAAGACAATTAAGTTGTATTAAAGTGCAAGTCCAAAGTGGCCAAATTGACCGATTATCTTACTTCCTAGCATCTTTCAACTGATGAGAGAAACAGCTGGAGTTCAAATAAACAAACATGACTCACCACTGACCTCTGAAGGTCTTATAGCTTCTGTTGTTTTTTTAAGGCCCATAATGTGTTATTCTGATTTCTGATTTATTTTATTTACATGCAATTGCCTAAACCCAACAGTTAAAACTCATCCAATTCACATTATTGTTGTGATGTAAACACATAATTTTGAAAGCTAACAACTGTGGAAAATAACTGCAATTAGCTCAAATGACGGCGATCAGGCAAGTATGTAATAATGACATGCGTTCCTTGAAAATGTAACCATATGTATATACTATATCAAACTCTTTTCTTCTGAAAAATAAACTTAGCAAAATTCAGTTTTACTTTGATATGTGCTCTTTAAAGCAGGGCCAGACCACAGCTGATTGTGAAAGGTAACATATGGAAAATAATTGCAATCGGTTCAAATAATTGTGACCAGCTGATTGTGTATAATAATAATGTATATTGAAATGCTACAAAATAGCCACTAAAATATAAACAGATAAGATAAACTGTTGCATAAAAGGTGTTATGTTATTTAAAAATAGTAAATGACAAAAAATAACTAGGAAAAATAACTATGAGCGAGATTTGCTCACTGTGTTTGAATATGACGCATTCTGGATATTAATTTCATTATAAGCTCTCAATATCATATACAGTATGCAAAAGTTTGAACACCTTTGGTCAAATTGCATGTTGATTTGGTCATGTTGCCTTGTTGATTATCTAAGTGAAAATAAGAGAATAGTGTTAACTTATATTTGCTTAATTTAATTTTAGGCCTGTGCACATTTTATATTTATGTTCATAAATATAAATATAAATAATTGTTAAACTCAGCAAAATGTGCACTCCAATTTGCTAGGAAAATGTTTGTTCCTATCTGTGAACTTATTTTCACTCAGAAAATCAACAAAACATGTATTTTGACCAGGGGTGTTCAAACATTTGCATACAACTGTATGTCTACAACAAAATCAGTTTTATATTATAAAAACAGTTATTCCAAACGTTTGAACAGTAGTGTATGTGCTCAGGTCTTAAGAGAAAGCAGGAGATCAGGGAAGGCTGATGTCATTGAGATGGAAGTAATACTTTGCAGAGTCCCTCCTGGCTGCCAGTGGTGACACACATCTCCATCTGTCCTCTCTCCGGGCTGAAGCTCGCTGTTGGAGGGTCATGCAGCCTCTTCTGGAGCTCCTTCATCCACGAGATCAGCTCTGGAATACTGAGGGTATACAGCCAAACAGACATAGCAAACTTTAACCTCATAGGTTAACCTTTAGTTTCTTCTCATCCCAAATTCAGTTAAACTGGTGAGGTATCGTCTTGAATATTTGAAGAGGAGCCGTCATGCTCTTCTTAGACAATAATTATTCTGCAGACTTTGAACTGGCTCTGATTAAATATTTTTCCACTATTCAGACATACTTCATGAAATACGTACAACTGAAATATAAAGCATGAAGTATAATGCTCAGTGCCTATGGACCACTGAAGTGTAGAGTACTGGTGGACATGTTTACCCATAAGAGCCAGAATACTGCAAAGCCCTCTTCATCATGGTCCCATCAAACTCAATGGTTTCTCCATTCTTCGTTTTAATGCTGGCGGAGTGGAAAGGGAAGGTGTTGGGGTTTGGGGCTCCCCCAGCAAGAGAAATTAAGGTAGGGGGAGAGCGCTGCTGGAGCTCAGCTGGACAGGGGGAATGGAGAGAGGAGGTGAGAGAAGACCAGAAGACCATGGATATCAGAGGAACCACCTGCTGTCTATTGCATTTTTGAAAATTTTCTTTACATTTTCAAATGGGTAAATTAAACCAAGCCATCTTTCAAGACCTTTTACGTCTGATCTACCCTCTTTAAATACTCTGGCATCTGTTTCTGTCTGTCATGTAAATGATCTGTCCATAGCGTGGTAGTATAACATGAACAGTTGATGGACCATGGCTTACTCAGAAGGCGGATTGGGGACGGCCTCCGTGCTGCACTCACGGCTGTCAAAAATCTGGAGTAGTTCATGTTTCCTACAGGTTGAAAGCACAGTAACAAGTAATAAAGGAGTAAAGTTTATAAAGTTTGAACCACCTTTCCCAACACATTCTTCATAAAGGAGATCTACAGTAATACTACAGACATTTTTACAAGATTTCTAAAAGAAATCTTTTAGTAAATTAATATAGTTATTATAGCTTACTACAGAGTGCTGCAGGAAATATAGATTATAGACTACTATAGGAATATTATAAGAAGTGAAAAAAAATATTATACAAATATTATACTGCATTAAAGCTGTATACTGACTATATGTACTATTGACTTTTTGCAAGGGATTATTGCTCACACAGAGTGAAGTCAATAAAACTGACTGAAAACAGTCCAAGTAGAGAGAACCGAACCGATCCGATCAGCATACAGATAATTTTGTGGTTGCCAAGCAGAAGGCGACTCGCTTTTCGGATTAAAACTGCAGATCAAGACAACTTCTAATGTACCGAAACAAGAATAAAACAAAGCACAATGCCGATTCTGTAATCAAATGTTACAAATATAAAGTGTCAAGTCAAATATGCCACATTAAAGCGATTCAAACCATAGCAAACACCTACACCACACACTCTAAAACCTGAATAGCACGTTTATTATTGTGACTAACCTTCGCGTCCACCCGTCTCAAACGCAAAGGCTCCCGGTTAATGTAGTTTAGTGTCTCTCACGTAACGTAGCAAACGAACCGTGTGGACTACATTACCCATAGTCTGGAGCAGCTGGGCATGCTAACTGACAACAAGGTTAGAGTCGATTCTAGTGTGGATGTTCATGCTAACACTGGGCTAAAAACAACCAAAGCCATGTGTTTGAGTGTTTAATTGTTATTATCGTAAAGCGAGGCTGCCGAACACTTTGTTGGCAGTTTGATAAGACGGACATTTTTGCTCCTGAGTGCGTTTCTGGCTGCGGCTTTGTTCTTTTGTTAGTTAGCTAGCTAGCTAGCTGGTTAGCTAGCACAGAACAGAGGATAAGTGATAAAACTCTTGTGTTTAGCTGTAGCGGTTTTATTTTACGGGGCACAGCTGAAATGTGGATCGTCTAAGTGTTCAAACAGAAGGAGTCAATGGGGAAAAGGAAAGACATGATTCATCCCAGGTTCCTTGCAGGTAAGTAACTGCTGGTTAACTTGACACTCAGTCGACTTAGTCGCCAGGCAAGTTAGCTGATTGGAGAACTTTGCATTAGGTTTTGAACCTGGAGGCCCACTGCTCCATCACACCTGATCCAACTTATCAGCTCATTAAAGGGGAATTCCACCGTTTTTTTTTAAATGTCAGCATAATTCAGTCTTTTGAGATGAAATGTAATTCAGAATATTTTGATGTGAAGTGGTTCATTGTAAAGAAACGTAAGTTACAGATCCAGATTTCTTTACAGTGGTGGTGATAGGAGCCAGGGGTCACAATGTCTACGACACAAATATTTTATCTACTGTCCAAGCCAGTTTATTTACTATCCAAAACCACCATGAACCATTTCATGTTTTAACTTTATGTGACGGAGCTTTTAGAGGCATTGAACTCTTCAGATATCTGGTTTCTTATCACCACCACTGTGAACAGTTCTGATTCGGTGAGTTCGTCTAGAACGAAGCCTTTTAAACCAAACCTCTCTGAACGACTTGTTTACATCTTAACCGTTTAATTTTACTGAAATTGTTGGAGTTCCCCTTTGACAACCTCTTACTAGGGTGAAATGGGTGTGAAGCAGGAAAAGCACTAAAATGTGCAGGGCAGTGGGACTCCAGGTCCAGAGTTGGGAACCACCACACTAGAAGAATAAGCAGGGGCATTATTTGTTTCTCTTTTTAGATGCATTGAAACATTTTGTTCATGCAAAAAAGTCCTTTTACCCTCACAAATATTTGGATCCCTGTGTCAGTGTGATGGTGTTATCCAGTTATTGTAGGACTTGTCTGATTACATCTAGAGTTGTAGGATGAATAGGTAGATTCACAAAAACAACAGTCTTAGCTTCCTTGTGTGAAACTGTGGACCGGGGAGTAAATGATTCGTTAAAATATTGAAACAGTTCTCTCACATGCATAAAATTCTTGCTGCCAATATTTGGCATATAAATAACTGCAGTTAACAATTAAATTTTTGTTCATTGTATGCAGCTATTAAAGTACAAGCCCAAAGTGACCAAGTTGGCTGAGTAGCTTTCTAACTGTCGATGCTCCCAACTGTCAAGACACAGCTGGAGCTAAAAAAAACAAACATCCCTCACTGCCCTCTAAACGTCTTATAGCACCAAGTCAGAAGTTAGAGCATGTTTTCATTAAGACCCATGACGTGTCTCAACAAATATGATTCCTGCTTTATTTTATTTACATGCATTTGCCTAAACCCAATGGTTAAAGGGCACCCAATTCACATTATTGTTGCAATATATGACTGTGAAAGCTTGTTGTGATGGGTCTATTTTGAAACCATGTGTACATACTACATTAAACTTTCTTAACCTCTTATTCTCCAGGGTATATTTTAGTTTTTCCATGACCAAATTACATGACCAAATTGTAAGGCAAATTATTCAGTAACTGCATGAAATAAATGTACATTTTATTTTATTATTTCTTTTTTGTAAAAGCTCCCCTCAAATTAACAGAACATGTGTGTTATGATCACTGAATGCTGATGCTGAAAGCCAAAAATCTTAGACACTCTTTGTATTGTTTTAGAATTTTTTTTTTTACAGAGTATATCACTGAGAGACACCATCTGTTTATAGTTTATAGCCCAGGTTTGTGGAAAAATGGGTCAACTTTCAGTAGACAAAAAGAATTGTGAGTTCAGCTTCTTCTATTATAAGGTTACAGTTACAGCTCTCATATGACACCCACTTTTTCAATGTAGCTTATGAAATATGGAAGTTATGAAGAATATGACGAAGTGCGTCCGGTGGTCTCAAGGAGTTGAAGAGGTTAATTTGGGATTAAACTTAGGGAAATTCAGTTTTCCATTATATGAGCTCATTAAGCAGGGAATACACAAATATACAATACAGTGGGAGTTCCAGAACTGGAGTTGGAAAACAAATGTTCTCAAGGTTCGTATGAACCGATGAAGCCACTCAAATCAGTTGTGAAATATCTTAAGGATTATAAGTCCTTTTATGAACTTCAAGCCCAGTTGTTTATTTACTACTGCTAGACTGTTCAGTTATTTGGACAGTAATTTAAAACGCTTTAACTTGACCATTGTGCTGTTTGGATCACTGCAGTGTCTTTTTGTTTTCCAGGGGATGATGATGACTACAGTGGACACAGGAAGAAACACAAGAAGCATAAGAAACATAAAAAGAAGCATCACCGCGACGATGGACACAGCTTCTCCTCAGAGGCTCTGGAGTCGGACTCTGGCATTGTGCTTAAACCTCCGCAGCTGAAGCTGAAGATCAAACTGGGAGGGCAAACACTGGGCACCAAGAGGTCAGTGTTGTAATGTGATTCCTCAAGCGATTCCTTAGGAAGAAATCAAACTGCAGAGTACACGACATCTTGATATCGTGGTCTTCACAATATCCCTAGCTTTATAAAGATGTTGTGACAGTAGAGTTACAGAGACACCAATCTAACAGTCTCCTATTCCATTGCTTTTTCACGCTGGTTTAGTGTGCCCACATTTACGGTGGTTCCAGAGGCTCTGCGATCGCTGTCTCCTCTGATTGTGGACAGTGATGATGATGACGACAATGAAGATGATGATGACGATGACGATGATGAGCCCTCAGAGGGGGTGCCCATTGAGCAGTACCGAGCCTGGCTTGGTAAGTTTATGTAGAATTTTCAAAATTTGTGCGTGATTCAATCGTTAAGGTTCATTTAGAGTGGTTTAATGTGAAAGGAACCAGGAGTCACAATATACAAATATAGCCGTTTTATTTCACACTGAAAATGACCAGTGAACCTATGCGTGTTTTCATATATAATATTGATGACAGTCAGAAAAAGTAAGTTTTCTTGGGCACTATTTTCCCTAATAACGACCTGCATGTACCTCTCCACTATGAAAGAATTTTAAAAATGACCTTTTAGGCCAAAATCTTTCCCCAAAACTACTGTAAACAATGTCTCCGGCATCAGGCAGTGTATTTATAACCATTTCATGTAATAATTTTCTGCATGGTATAAAAACCCGATGCGCATGACTGTTTATATCTTAAGTGTTTAATTATGCAGAAATTAAGGAAAATGGTAGAATCCCCCTTTAACGTTTTAAATCCAAAATAAAAATATCAGCTCTCTGAAACATTTTTGAGGCTTTCTATTCAGAACTTGACATTTTGTGATTTTTCCGCCATCATTGTTGTGCATTCAGCACAAGTATTTTAATTCAGCTGATTCCAACTATGTTCTTTGTTATTGTTGTTATTATTATGTTTATTTATATTTGGTTTAATGGGGTATGGTAAAGGGGCACCTTTGCTGTCCAATCTGAATAATTTATGAATAATGTTCTGCATATGGTGCTTGATTTTCCAGATGAGGACAGTAACTTGGACCCTTCCCCTCTACCGGACATGGACACAGATTCGTTTGTGGAAGGTCCCATGGATGAGGAGGAGAAGTGGCTTGATGCGCTGGAGAAAGGAGAACTAGATGATAACGGAGAGCTCAAAAAAGAGATAGATGAGTCTCTTCTTACTGCTAGACAGGTATCTTGGATGTTAAAGAACATAACATAGTAATACATAGAAATAATTAATAATGAACTAAATATTATTATATTTTTCCCTAAAACCAGAAAACGAGTTATTTGCTTGAATTTCCTTCAAAATAACTGATCCAAATTAGCTTAATTTTCATATTATTTCAAATGCTGCTACAAGGTGAATCACCACTCAGTTTGTTGCTCATCAGCTTCTTATTCTCTTTGCAGAGTCTGTAAGAAACTAAGCTAATAAGTTAATCCTTATGTACATTCAATGAATATTTGTGTCAAATCGATATAATTTGTGCTCTTATTCTTCCCCCAACAGAAAGCACTCTTGCACAAGCAGCAGAGCCAGCCTTTGCTGGAGTTGCCAATGGGCTACAAAGAGAAGGAAATGACGGCCGAGATGCTGCAGAAGCGTGAGGAACGTGCCCGCAAGAGGCGCCTTCAGGCTGCTAAAAAGGCTGAAGAGAACAAGAACCAGACCATTGAGAGGCTCACCAAGACCAGCAAGGCCAAGATCAAGAGCATGAAAGAGCGAAAGTCCAAGCAAACTCAGGTGCCTATGGTTCGGTACTCAGACACTGCCCAGGGGGCGGCTATCTCTTACCCTGTTGGGGTACCTGCTCCAGCCCCTGACCCTCCACGGCCACACCCTCCAGCTCCAGTGAGCTGTGGCGTCTTTGGATGCACCAATCTGAAAAAATATTCCTGCTCCAAAACAGGCATTCCGCTCTGCAGTTTGGACTGCTACAAGAAGAATTTGTTGCTTGTGGAGAGTGCAGCCTGAGGAGCTTTAGGAATAGACCTCTGAAGCTGTGTGTCATTCTGTAGTCATCATCATGCTCATGTTAGGATCTCTGGGTCTGTGCTGGTTTTGTCTATGGTAAAAGTGAATGGCTAAAATTGCATTTATTGCATCCTGTGGTCAACAAAAATGTTCCAAATCTGATACCTTTTGCCCTGTGTACATTGCCCTCCAGAATTTTGCTGGATCCTCTGGATTGTGTGGTCGTTTAGCAGTAAAAAGTGGAATAATGCTACATACATGCTAAAAGCAAGCTGTACTTGACAAAGCTTGTTGGCTTGTTTGGGGTATTTTGGTGAGGTTGTCGGTCATATGATGTCAGTTCGTGTACAGCAGTGTTAGCTAGCATGTATTGCATGTAGCAGTATTTATATTCCGACTCCTAAGCAAACTGATAATTCAGAGGATTCAGTGACATTCAGGGTATTTATGGCAAAATGTAACAGGTTCTGAACATCTTTGTTTACCACATTTTATTTTAGATTTTGTTGAACTGCACATAATAAATCAACAGAATATAACATTGATAACTGTTCTATTAACTATCGGAAGTTCAGTGAACTCAGTGATTTATAAGGCAGCCAGGTCACTTACTCTAAGTTAAAACAACATTTGCTCCAGTGTAACAGCATACCACACAGGGCAGGAGTTAATAGTTTCCACAAACTATGCTGAGCGCTATTTTTCAGATAGTGAATAATTATAGATGGCATTGACTGTAAGAGAGAGTTGGAGTATTTCTTTATGCTTTGTCAGAATTGGAGATGTAGAACAGTGGTCACCAACCCTGGTCCTGGAGATCTATCTTGCTGTAGAGTCTAGTTCCAACCACAGTCTGCCACACCTGCTCCAGCTAATGAACTACTTCAGAAGCCCTTCATTGGCTGGATCAGAAGTGTTAGTATTAGCAGCATTGAGAGAATAAAGTTCTTACCTTATTTAGTTCTTGGCCTGTGTTGTGTTTTGGGAGCTGTTCCTCCAAGCTGGCTTTCTAAATTATCTGGCTACTGCTGGCCGACTAGGTCGTGCAATGCTTTCTCAAACTGTGATCTATTAATCATATTTCTTCCTTAATCTAAAATCTTCTTTTATTTTTAACCTAACCACTCGTGAGTTATTTTAAATTTCTAACTTGAGTTAGCCAGCAAGGAGAAACTGGACTCTGATCTAGGATCCACTTACTTATGTAAATATTCCTCATAACCATGTACTGATAAAAACAATTGTTTTATTCAGAATACACAAATTTCAGTTTGTTCTGACTCAATTATGTTAAATGCCCAGAAAAGAACGTTGTGTTGAATCAGTGGGAAGGTGAACCTTGAGTTTAATGTATTTATTTGTTGTCTGAAGAGTCACTCTGCCAAGACTTTAGTGTTCTGGCTAATTGACTAGTCAGGATATTTCGATATTTTTGTAAAAACACTGAAATAAACAACAGATTCTTACAAGGTGACATGGCAAATTTGTTTGCATTTATTTCACACATCTTTGATATGCACTTGAATGAAGAGCATATAAACTTTAAAAAACTCATCAACTGCTACATCTTAAATAAACAAACATCTCTGCCATATTACAAAACACTGGAGCTGGACCTTGATGTAAGGTTGTTACTATTGACAGCATGTAAATAGGTATGGCAAGCCATTAGATTCCATTTGGTCCTGCATGATAAAAGGTCACTTGAAAATAACAATGTATGTAGCCATTTCTTCGTTGTATTGTGTATATATTGTGAAAATATCTTGAATTATTATGATACATTTCCATCATATTGCCCACCTATATACTGAAGCAACATCTGGTTGACTTCTATTCTTAGTGTATTTTGAGTAAATAGGTTCTCTGTTCTTTCAGGGAAATGTCAAAATGATTGTCCCTGGTAACTGACCAGTTGCTACAGCTGAGGCAAACAGATAGCAGGTTGTAAAGTGTCAGAGTATTCCTTTATACTTCTCCAAACTTGAAGATGCAGAGCACAGGTTTCAAATCCTGGTCTTGGAGTGTCCCCTGTCCTGCACGTTTTGTGTTTTCCTGCCATAACACACCCACTTCAGCTCAGGAAGGGCTTGTTGACAAACTGATTATTTGGATCAGGTGTGTTTGTAGATGGAAAATGCTAAAATGTGCAGGGTAGGGAGTAACTCCAGGACCAGGGCTGGGAACCACTGATGTAGAGCACTGGTCACCAACCCTTGTCTTGGAGATGTAACTTCCTGCAGAGCCTAGGTCCAACCAAAACCTAGTACACCTGCTCCAGCTAATTAACTTCTTCAGAAGTCCTTAATTGGCTGGACCAGATGAATTAGTTTTAGCATGGTGCTAGCAGGTTGGAACTAAACTCTATAGAAAAGCAGATCTCCAGGAGGAGGGTTGGTGACCCTTCATGTAGAGACTCCCAGAGCTATATAATGCCAAGTTTTCTCACAACTGTCAGTGAATCCTTTCAGTTTTCTAGAGTGGAAATACAAGACCTTGCAGTATTGTCCCTAAGCCTCTTAGCTTTATCCTGCCCCCTTTTTTAAAGAAATACAGCACAATCTGAGGTATTACTGTTGAGATGAGACACATCTGATGGTCTTCCAGCCCTTCAGAGAGCATTCAAGGCACTGACATAAAAGGACAGGTTTTTCAGCTTAACAACGTTCAGTGATTGGACTATACGTCTCGGTTCTGAACCCAGCATTGACTTTTAACAAGTGCCAGAACTGAATTCAGTCCATTGTTCCCTCTCTATTGCTATAAACAACTAGGCCTCAATTAAGGTTTACAAAGTTTCCAACATGCTTTCCTCATTAGGAGCCCTTAATCGTTGTGGAAAACATTTCACAAAGCTGTGTACATCAGACTTCCGCTCCTCCATCACAGGTAGTGCAGGACTTCATACTCCCAGCAACATGGCAAGAAAATCACATGGCCAACCCAAATGACAGCCTGAAAGCCATCTCCACCGGCACCTCTGCAACGGAATCGTGGAAACAAACGTAGAACTCCTGAGGTACAGGTTCTAGAACCATCCGCCTGGAACACAGAACAACACGAGAGTTTCCAAATGTGATGTGGGAAATCAATGCTGATGTTTTCCTCATGTTTTTTGTGGTCAAACAAAAAAAACACACACCAGTGATATAAGCTTAAATATTTACACACTGAAGCACAAAGATGACTCCTGAGTAACTGCAATAAGTACATAATGGAAAAACGGAGGACACACCGCATGGAAACAGAGGCAGCGGACTGATAAATGACTGCCCTTTCTGCCCCGGGTTTGAATGAGATTCCACTGAGGCCCAGCTGCAGGTGATCTGAGCTGCACTCAGACTTATTTACCTTTCCTTTCCATTAGATTTATCAGAATAGACAACAAACCGCCCACACCGCTAGGGCTGCTGAGTTCAGCATCAATTCAACCAAGATGGAAAATTGCTTCAAGCTTTTTGTCAAGTTTAAAAATCTCAGACTATGAAAAATGGATGTTCTTCAGAACAGGAGAATTTCAGTTAATCTCAGTTGATCCCAGACTAGATCCCATATACCATTAATCATACTTTATTTATTACCCACACTGGCTCCTCAAACTTGGCGAATCGATCCCCTGCATACTAAACTAGACTTGCTACCTCTGCAGTAGATAAATGAAATATGTACCCGATAACCCAGTAGGTCATGGTAGGAGGAGGTTTCTTTTGGTCAGTCCAGTTCTCAGGTTTGCACTGGAACAGAACGCCATGTTCTTTAACAGGCCCGAGCCCTCTGGAAGCCTGCGGCCTCTCGGCTCCTCGCCTCTCCTGATGCCACACACAGACAGGGAACATGCATATAGGTTTATAAGAATAAGAGTAAAAAGACACAAAAGTTAAACATTCTGGATCATAACCAAAAGATGGAGAATTTTTTTATGATTTATGAACAGTGGTGAACATAGCTGTCACTTTCCTGTCCACTATTTCACACAGAAGCACACAATCTACTACCTGTAGTGGGTGATGCATTACAGTACTTTGATCTGCAAACATACAGTACTGTACAAGACAAGAAAATAGTTCACAACTACAGTCTCCTCCAAAAGTTTTGGAATGACAGGGCCAATTCTGTGCTGTATGAATGTTATTTGTATTCATTCAATAGCTGTATTCCAAGGCTAGGCTGCAGTCTAGATGCATCCAAGTCTGTTCCAATCAGAAGGATCCTTCAGTAAGACAGCCAAGACATGCAGCCTACATCATGACAAATTTCACTACTGGAGACATTACTGGAGTATTGAAGTATGCAGGCAGATAAAACCACCACAACAGGCCTGCACACAGACAGTTGGGGGCAGGGGCTAACTGGAAAAAAAGGACAACCTGAATGTGAATGAAACCTAATTTAATTTGCAGCATATTGCAGACACTCTTATTTATTATACTATTATTTTTCAGAGAAAAGCAATGCAGTGTTAAGAGTTTCCCCAAACAGCCAAAAACACATCTTTACCGCCCGATCAGGGACTTCAGCATGCAAAGCAGCAACATTTCCATTTACACTACATAAATGCTATAAATTGGTGAAGTATAGCTGTATTTAAGAGTTCAGCAGAGCATGGTGTAAATGCCTGTTTTTTTTACAATAACAGAACTTGGTTTAGCATGTTATTAGCACTTCCTGCCAACATTATGTTTGGTTGTTGTATAATTGTACAGTGATGGCTTATCAAAAAACAGTCTGTGTTTGTAAGAAGGGTTAGCTACACTCAGACCATTAGATAACTAATACTAACAGTGTATGTGATGCACAATTCGTACTACACATTGTTTAAAAATGCCAGTAAAATATATTTCTTCAATTTTGTATACCATAGTAAGTTTTACTGCACCCTGCTCTTACAGTTGGATGCAAAAGTTTAAACACCCCCAGACAACTTACATGTTTTTTTCGATTTTCTAAGTGAGAATAAGTTAACACATTCTCTATAGGGAACACACTTAAATATTTTCTTGCCAATTTTAGTGCACAGCATACTGCAAAAATGAAAACATAAGGTATAACATTTACAAAAACCAAGCCATATTTTACATTTCTTTTTGTATAAAATTCAGCAAATAAACAGTAATTGTGCATCGAAATATGCAGAAGTGTGTTCTCTGTAGAGGATGTGTACTTATTTTCACTTAGAAAATCAATAAAATGTCATTTGACTGGGGCGCACAAACTTTCGCATACAACTATATGTTATGACTATAAGAGAAAGCAGGGTGTGAAATGTACCTGCTTTCAGTGAGTTGAACAGTTTTTTGCCTGCAGGGCAACATTTAATTACAAACAAATTAGTGATAGCTTATTATCATTTACGTCAACAGCATTTTCTCTGTCAAGTTTCACATGCCGACTCCATGATCCATGGCCAATCGTTCAGTTTTAAATTATGTGATACAAACGAGGAGCCTTCAAAGGAGAGTACCACTGAGGACCCACCTGTCTCAGCTGCAGCCTAGTCTTGGGAACACAGCCTATCTTTGTATTTTTCTTAAGCAAATGAAAGATTATTGCCCAATTGTTTTAATTTACATCTCAGGTGGTCTAAGACTTCTGCACAGTATTCTTTCCCACACAGCCCCTCGTACCCGTGGTGGCAGGCTCTGCTGGAAGGCGTGCCGTATGGACAGGCAGCAGTGGTGAAAGTTGCGGATGAGCTGAGGGTGGATGGAGCCGCTGAGCTGAGACACTTCTCTGTGCGTGGGCGCGATGAAGATACCCTGCACCGTCTCCATTAAAATGTAGTGGAAGAGTGTGTTCTCCACACCAGCTGTGAGCCTGACATGCACACACACACACACACACTCAATGATTTTAAAGGAAATCTTTCAAATTTCTGCATAATTCAAAAAATAAGATGTAAACAACGTCATTCAGGGTGTGTTGATGTGAAATGATTCATTCTGGAGAAAGAGAGTGAGTCAAAATTGTTCACAGTGGTGATGATAGGAACCAGACGTCTGAAGTGTTTAATGCTTCTAAAAGCTATGTTGAAGAATGCTATTACGTGAAATGGTTACAAATATGTTTCCTATTGCCTAAGAATGTTTTGGCATAAATCATATTTTTAAAAATCCATTCTCAGCAGAGAGGTACAGTCATATGCAAAAGTTTGTGCACCCATAGTCAAATGACATTTTGTTTATTTGTTGAAGTGAGAACATGGAGAACACACTTCTGCATATTTTAATACACAATTACTCTTTATCTGCTGAATTTAACATATTGGGGGAAAAAAAATACATAAAATGTGGCATGTACAAAGGTTATGGCACATTTTGTACTGTATTTTTTTATGTTTTGTTAAATTCTGCAATTGGTCATTAAAATTGGCAGAAAAATGACATAAGTGTGTCCTCTGTATTTTCACGTGAATCAACAAAATATGTACTTTGACTGGAGGTGTTCAAACTTTTTCACGCAGCATTAAACACTCTG